CAGCCCTGCCGCTTGAGTATCAGCGTATAACACACAGCTAGGATTTCAGCCCCAAATTTTAAGGAAAAAAGTGCGTGTTATATGCCGATAAATACAGTATGTGGTCATGGGACCACTAGGAGTCATACTCAATTTAAAAGTGTTTTTAAATACCACATTGTTGTTATACTAGTTACTTGGTTGTTTAATGAATTTTGAATCTTCAAAATCAACTTTTTTATAACACACACATACAGTTATGATCATCAGTCTTCAATATGTTTGCCGTAATTGGTGAAATCTTGGTGATGGGGCAGAGGCTGAGCAGAATTTCTAATAATAAATGAATATTTAGTTTTGTTAAGAGTATGTAATCCTGAGTACGCAGTACTAATTTATAGTATACAATCAACCCATCTCTAAATTTTTGCCTGTTTTCATATGTGTGTGTGTGTGTGTGTGTGTGTGTGCATATAAACACATACATAATTTTTATTAAAACTTTTAAGCAAGATAAAAACTAACACAAAAGTAAGGAAGAAAAAGAAAAACGTGCAAGAAAAGAAAAATAAAAAAAAGATATAAAGTGGCTTTCAATATTCTTCACAGCAGTTATAAGTACAAATATATTTTAACCTCTATCTAAAGTTACATCATATTACTCTTTCTATACTCTGTCCTGTCTAATCATCAAAATCATGAATCACAAGTTCATTTTTTTCATTGCAAAAAGTCTGTAAGAGGCTTCCAGTCACCAATAGATGTAGTGTCTTTTCTCTAATTGAAGAAGTTAATTTATCCATTTCACCAAAATCTCTCAACTTCACCAACCGTTCCTCCAGAATGGATAGTATCAAATCTTTCCATCTCTATGCGGCAGTAATTATATATTGAAATAATCTTCCATGGCTTTTTTCTAACTATCCATTCCAGCTTCAATTGAATATTGATCTTTAAAATCCTCTGTGTCCAAGTATGTATTTGAATCCAATTTTTTTTAGCTTTTTTACATGTCTATCAAGCATCATAAAATATCCATTCGTGCTGTTCACATTTCCAACGTACATTTGAAGTGCCTTTACACATTCTAGATAACTTCTCTGTCATGTACTAACGATACATCATTTTATAAAAATGATCTTTGAGGTCATAACACAATGTAAATTTCTACCCTTTTAACCACATATTTTCCCGCTGATCTATCTGTATATTATAACCAAAATTCTTAGCCTACTTTATCATACATTCCTTAGCCTGTTCTTCCTCTGTTTCAAATTTTAATGA